CAACAAGAGGTCACCGGTTTGATTCCGGGTCAGGGCACATGCTCAGGTTGTGGGCCAAATCCCCAGTGGAGAGCATGCAGGAGGTGGCCAATCAATATGTTCTCTCCCATCAATATTTCTTTCTCTCTCTTCCTCTCCCTTCCTTTCTCTGTAAAATCAAAAAATCATGGAATGTCATTCCTCTGCTCCAAAGCTCTTCAAAAATAAATTAATTAAGTTAAAAAGTATAGCCAAAATAAATAAACTGCAATGGCCAGCATCTCACACATAGTAGAAGCCAAAGTCCTTACAAACGTTTTCAGGCCCTATCTGATCTGCTTACCTCTTCCATCTCATCTCCCATCCCTCTCACTCTGCTCTAGCCACACTGGACCCCTGGTTGTCCTCCAACTCATCCAGCACATTCCCACCTCAGGGACTGCACAATCTCAGCCAAGTGATTGGGGTCAATATCAACAATGATAAATAAATCATCCTGAAGGCATGCACCCTTGATATGATGCAATGAAAATGGCACTTCACCTCTGCTTCCTCCCCAAACCCATAATTCATCTGATCCTAAGAAAAACAACATACAAATCCCAATTAAGAAACATTTTATAAAATACTTGACCAAGGGATAGAAAGAGACTTTTCTTGGGGTGATGGGCACACAATACAGTGTGCAGATAATGTTTTATTAAGTTGTACCCTTGAACCTGTATGGTTTTGCAAACCAATGTCACCCCAATAAATTCAAGTAAAAAATACTTGCCCTGGCCGGTTTGGCTCAGCGGTTGGAGCGTCGGCCTGCGGTACAGAGAGACCCGGGTTCGGTTCCCGCTAAGGGCACGTACCTCGGTTGCAGTCTGTCCCCGGCCCTGGTTGGTCGTGAGGGTGGCAGCCACTCGATGTGTCCCTTCACATCGATGTTTCTCTCTCTCTCTCTCTTCCTCTCTCTCCCTCCCGCTCTATCTGAACAAAAAATGGAAAAATGTCCTCAGGTGAGGATTAAAAAAAAAAAAAAACTTGACTAATACTCCTTAAAACTGTCAAAATTATCAAAAACAGGGAAAGTCTGGAAAACTTAGTCAAGAGCAGCCTAAAGAGACATGATGACTAAATATAATGTGGTGTCCTTGCAGGATCCTGGAACAAAGGACATTAGGTAAAAACTAAGGAAATAGAAATAAACTATGGACCTAATTTAATAATAATATATCAATACTGAGTCACTAATTGTAACATATGCAAGATGTTAATAGAGAAAACTGAGTGTAGGGCATTCAGGAACTCTCTGTAATATCCTTGTAATTTTTCTGGAAATCTAAAACTATTCTAAATAATAAAGTTTATTTTTAACTTCCTCCCCAAATGTCTCCTTTCTTCTCTTGATTCCACAAGTCATTTAACTTCTCTGAACTTCAATTTGCCTATTTTGAAATAGGGGATTATTTTTAATCTTTCCAACTACAATCAATAATAACTCTAATTCAGTGAATGTTCATTGCATACTAAATTCTACGCTAAGCACCCTTTACATGCATTTTCCCATGTAATCATCACAGTGAATCTGTGGGCTGGGATTGTCATTTTCCCTGCTTGTCCACCATGGAAACAGGCTGCAACTAGACCAAAGTCACAGAGCTGGTTAATGAAGGCCAAACTCAGTCTCTGGCCTGTCTGATGTCAAAGGCTCTAAACCTGTTTTTCACTGGTTCAGGCTCCTCCTTCTCCTATGCCTGTAGACAGAAGGATGCCCCCAACCCCAACAAACTGCTTATAAGTAAGCATTCTCCTTAATGGAGCTCTAAAGATCTGTTTCTTTTACTTTCTTTTTTTTTTTTATCCTCACCTGAGGACATTTTTCTATTTTTTGTTCAGGTAGAGTGGGAGGGGGAGAGAGGAAGAGAGAGAGAAATATCGATGTGAAAGGGACACATCGAGTGGCTGCCACCCGCACGACCAACCAGGGCCGGGGACAAACTGCAACCGAGGTACATGCCCTTAGTGGGAACCGAACCCGGGTCTCTCGGGACCGCAGGCCGACGCTCTAACCGCTGAGCCAAACCGGCCAGGGCTGTTTCTTTAACTTTCTAATGAAGAAGACATCACCAGTAATATCAGCAATCATTCCATGAGCATTTACTCTGTGATAGGTACTCAGAACTTTGTGCTTATTACCTTACTGAATTCATACAGTAATGCTAAGAGAAACCATTAAAATTCCCTTCATACATTACCGGAGGGAATACAGCCACTTTGGAAACTAGTTTGGCAGTTTCCTAAAATGTTAAACATATGACCCAGCAATTCCACTCCAAGGTATATAAAACATGCATTCATACAAAAACTTGTACATGGATATTCACAGCAGCATTATTCGTATTAGTCAAAAGAAACAAGCTAGTGTCTATCAACTGAAGAATGGATAAACACAATGTGGTCTATCCATACAATGGAATATTATTTAGTAATAAAAATAAATGAATTACTGCCCTGGCTGGTGTTGCTCAGTGGTTAGAGTGTTGGCCTGTGCATCATAGAGTCCTGGGTTTGATTCTCGGTCAAGGTCATGTACTTGGGTTGCACGTTCAATCCCTGGCGCCTGCAGGAGGTGACCAATTGATGTCTCTCTCTCACATCGATGTTTCTCTTTCTCTTCTCCCCACACACCCCGACTCTCTTTAAAAATCAATGGAAAATATATCCTCGAGTAAGGATAAAAACAAAAACAAAAATAGTGAAGTACTGATACAATGATACAGGCTACAACATGGACGAACCCTGAAACAAATAAAGCTAAGTGAAAGAAGACATTCAGAAAAGATGGTGGAGCCCAGTGGGTGTGGCTTAGTGAACTGAGCATCTTCCCATGTACCAAGAGGTTGCAGGTTCTATTTCCCATCAGGACACATGCCAGGATTTTGGGCTTGATCCCCAGTAGGGGGCCTACAGGAGGCAGCTGATCAATGTTTCCCTATCATTGATGTTTCTACCTCTCCCTTCCTCTCTAAAATCTATACAAACATATTAAAAAAGAAAAAGACTGGGCAACCCACTTGGGTCCCCTTCCCACTGCAGGAAGTCTATCTTTCAAATAAAATTTCTTTGGCTTAAAAAAAATAAAAATAAAAAGACTGGGTGAATTGTATGGCATACAAATGAATTATATCTTAATAAAGTTGTTTTTTAAAAACCCATTTTACAAATAAACCATGGCACAGAATTAAGAACATCGCCACTTTGCTGAACTTATTTAAAGCAAAGAAATGCATTTCCAAATAACAGCTTCTCAGTGGTGAATGATTTGAGTTTGGTTTTGTTTTCCTCAAGGTTGAAAGTCACTTCCAGACTTCTCTTTGACCTCTGCCTTGGGAGTTGCCTGCATTAGGATCAAAACACGTGAGCTGAACCAATGGAACATAGTGGCTACAGGGACAGGCTCTAAGAAGGCAGCCCTTAGGATTTTTTTCCCTTTCCCTTTTTCTTCTCAGTATGTGTTTGTTGCTCTTCTCACAGTAGCTTGTAAGCTCCAGGAAAGCTGAAATGTGTTTAGCTCTGTATCCCCAGCCACTAGTTCAGTTCCTGACAGAGTGGATGAAGTGAATAGTGGTTGAAAGAATAAGGGCTAGTTCAGATAGAGAATCAAGTGAGTTAATAGTCAGGTTTCTGGCTTGGGTGCTGGTAACACAGAGATGGAAGAGGGGTGGGGGAGCACAGTATCAGGTCTAGGGGATATCCGAGGTACATGGGAGAGATCTAGGAGAGGGTGGATACACCTACCTGGAAAATATTTCATTGAGAGTGCTTACAGGAACCAGGGAAGTACACTGAATAGGGACAATGGCCCATTCCTAAACAATAGAGTGGAGAGGACAGTGGCAATCTGGAGAGATCATGCCCAATCTCAAGGGACAGGCATAGGGAAAGCAGTGTTAACTCATTTTTCAGAAGCTGAAAACAGGGGCTGCCACGTGAAACCTTGTCTGAAGGCCAATGTTCTCCTGGTCACCTGTTTCTGATTTCTGTTGGAACAATCTAGCCTTGAGTCTTCTCTAGAAGTCTTGGGTATGTGTAGTGGTAGCAGAGAATGTTGGATGCTGTTTTTCCTAAGGCGATGGGTAGATACACTTAGAACAAGTCAGTTCTGGGTGGCATGAATAGGAGCTAGCCTCTCTTAGCTCAGTTTAATAGTCACTTGTTTTTAATGGCTACATCAAAGAATAATGTTGAATGTAAAAAGGTAGTTGCAAAAAAGCCCTGACTGGTTTTGCTCAGCGGTTAGGGCATCCACCCACGGACCAAAGGGTCTGGGGTTTGATTCTGATCAAGGGCATGTACCTCAGTTGCAGGTTTGATCCCCACCCCAGTCAGAGTCATGCGGAAGGCAACCAATGTGTCTCTCTCACATAGATGTTTTTCTCTCTCCCTCCCACTCTTTCTAAAAAATTCAATGGAAAAATATACTCAGGTGAGGATTAACAAGAACCAAAAAAAGGTAGTTGCAAAATAGATTTCACTTATCTACAATATTTTAAGTATATAGTTAGAAAAAGAACTGGAGGAATATATTCCTGACAACTGTTATCTCTGAGGGGTGGGATTATGAGGCACTTTCCCTTTGCACTGTTATTTCTGGGCTCTGGTTAATGATCATGTATAAAAAAAACACACCCAGATTTTAGAAAAATATTTTTAAACATACCCATGCATGTACATATATGTCAAGGGAAACACATAGTAAAGGGACCTAAAGAGTATGTATCAAATGGTTGACAGTGGTTACCTCTGGGGAAGGGTGTGCAGGACTTGTGTGGGCTGGCAGATGAGTAGGAAATTGTTTTGTCGTCTTTCTGTAGTGTTTGAATCTTATTTAACATGTACTCCCAGGTTGTAGAAAAATGTGAAAAACTCCAATGCCCAACACTCCAATCCATCCATCCAGAAGTTGAACACCTCTTCCAGATGAGAGGGAGGGGAAAACCTTTGTCAGGACATGAATAGTTATCATCCCTCCTTGTCCCCAGGGCTCAGCCCAATCCCCAATACCAGGTGACCCAAACACACTGAAAGAGAAGCCAAGGGACCTCATTGTAACACTCATTTTTATATAAATATCCGCAAGTCATGTTACAGAATAAGCCCCACCTGGGAAAAAAGTCAACATTTATGTTTTTGTTAAACTGACCCCTGCCTTCTAGGCTGGGCCCCGGCCTGGGGGCGCCTGGTGCTTTGGGAAGGCTGAGGCTGCTAAAGAAGCTGCCCATGTGGTCCACCTCCGAGCTGACCCCCTTCTTTGGTGTGTGGTACATGGTGACCTTCTCTGGCCCTCCTTAGCCTGGGGCAGGGCTCTGGGAACAGGGCTCTAGAGAGCAGGGCCCAGGAGTCCTGGGGGCACTTGGAAATGAAGTGGGGAAACTGAGCCACTAAGAAAGAAGTAGACTCTGAAGCTTAAAGGTTGAGCCTTTTGGGGATGGGGCACACAGAGGTAACAGGAACAAGTGGGGAGAACCTGGGCTGTCAGCCAAGCAGGAAGCATTTGCCTTTCTTTCCAGCCTAGGTACCCAGGTCCCTTCCCCTGTTGGTCCACTTCCTGCTGGACCCCATATTCTGAGGGATAAGCCATGGGCCTGCCTGTCCCCTTCCAGCTCTCCCCTTCCCGACACAGAGAGGCCAGAGGCTAGGAACACAGCACCAGTCTGAGGATTTAATTAACCAGGAAGGGGGATTATTGGGAAGGGCACCCCTGTAAAAATGTACAAAAGGTCTGAGGGGCTATGTGGAAGGGGAGATAAATATGTACATGGAACCCCCCTTCCTTTAGCCCCTCCTCCCCCAGCCCTGAGAGGGCATGAGGACTTGGGTGGTAGGTGAAGGGGAGGGGGGCACTTTGGCCTCTGGCTTAGTGAGCCCTTGGGGAGGCAGACCAAGGGCCTAGGGGCCCTCAGAGGGGGCTATGGTGCACCTCAGGAGATCATGAGCTATGACCTCTGAAATGATCCCCACTCTCATGTATGTGTACACACACACACACACACACACACACACTCACTCACTCTCCCCTTTCTAGAGGTTTATGACCTCTGCCCTCCCAGTGACCCCAAGGTTCATCTGATGCTTGATCTCATGGGGGTTGGGGTTCTGTTCTCAGGTTCCACGACCTCAAAGGTGGCTGGTGAGGTCATGACCTTCGCCCTCCAGCCCTGGCTTAAAACCTCAGCTCTAGGACCTTATCAAAAGGAAAGGGGATGGAGCTTTGCCCCTGCCCCTCCCCTTCCCTCACCTGTCAGCCCGGGCTGGGCCAGGGGCCCTAGGTGGGGAACTAGGCCGGGGGGCGGGCACAAGTGGAGGTGGTGCCCCTAAAAGGGCTCCTGGTGGGGTCTTGCTGAGAAGGTGAGGGGTTCCCGGGGCCGCCGTAGGTGGTGGCGGAGGAGCCAAGCGGCTGTATAACAGGGGATGGGCAGGCTCTAGACCATAGAGGCGGGCAGCAGCCACTGCCCCTGGCCCAGTCAGCTCCTCACCCGCCTCATAGAAGCGAGGTGGCCTTGCAAGGCGAGGGGGCCCTGCCAACCAGGTTGGCTCCAGGAAGCCAGCACAGCGCTCTGGAGGTCCAGGGCCCAGAAAGGGGGGTGGCCGGGGCCTCTCAAACAGCAGGTGAAGGCCCTGAGGCCCAGTGGCGGCAGCAGCGGCGGCAGCGGCGGCGGCAGCAGCTGCAGCAGCAGCGGCGGCAGCAGCCTCCTCTTTCCGTTCTTCCTTTACCCGCACCGATTCCTTGGCTGGCCTGGCCCCTTCCTCACCAGCCCGGGCCTTGGGAGTAGCAGGAGATACTCGGGGCTGGGGCCGTGAGAAGGGGAGGTCCCTGGGGGGCAGGTGTTGGGGAAGAGAATAAAGGTACTCCAGATGTCAGACAAAGGTTGAGGGGAAGGTGGGGGGACAGTTTTCGGGAAGCATACCTGTCTTTCTCCTCCTTGGTGATAGAAGACTCTCTCCGCTCCACAGGCCGCTCCTTGTCTGAGCCTGGTGTCCGGGCGGCCTCAGGGGGCCGGACCCAGGCAGGAAAGGCCAGAGGACTGCGGTGCAGGCGACCCCATGGGTCCGGGGGGGAGGCGAAGGCTGGTGGGGCCCCTGGGCTTTCTTTCTGGGCAAAGACGGCGCCGGAGTCTAGACAGAAGGCAAAGTAGAGAGTGACAGGAGCCAGGAGTGGGAGGACCCGCTCTGGCACTCTCCCACCCTCCTGCTTGAGCACGTTAACCTGCTGCTACAGCCCCTCATCCACCCTACCTCACCCAGCACTCACTGAAAGTGGGGCTTCCCAGGCCTCCAAAAGCCCCGTTGGAGAGGGCAGCCAAGGAGGCGAAGCTTGTGGGACGCCCAAAGGGATCTGTGGGAGAAAAGGGGATGGTCAGAGCATTGGGCAGCCAACTCTGAGAAGTCACCAAGAACTAACAGGGAAGAGAAAGATCAGCAAGCAGGCCCCGAAGCCCTGGGCCACTGTGTCTTAACAACCGGGTGCTGAGCACTTCCTTGGGCCAGGCTAGGCACTGAGCTCTGACATGCATCATATTGTTTAACCTCACAAACCCCATTAGGCAGACAGAATTATTCCCACTTAAAGATGATGAAACAGGCTCAGAGAGGTGAAGTGACTTGCCAACAGTCAACCCAGGGCCTCTCTGACTCCAGAGTTCAAGTTTTTACCCCATACTCCCCCACACCAGCCACCCAGACCAGCTCTACAGCAAGTCAGTTGCCCGAAGACCTCGGCTGGCTTCCTCCCACTTGACATGCAGGGACCTTCCCAGCCTGACCCTAATTTCATGCATGTGTCACACAGCCAGTCAGAACAACTAACCTATTCCACTATGGGACCTCACAATTTCCTCTTCCAGGAACACCTTTCCCTACGCCCTCGGGCTCAAATCCTCCTTGTCCACCCAAACTCAAGTTTAATCTCCCCCAATAGCCTGCCTGAGATGGCTAAGAACCATTGACCATGCTCTCTCCTGGGGCTGCAGAGCCTTCCTCCATGTTCTTCTCCCAGGTGGCATACTAGTCCTCACCACTGGCTATTATTTCAGAGAATATCTGGACTGGCAGAGATTAGCAATCACTCTGTCCTTTCCTATTTCATTTTACAGCTGATGAAATCAAGGTTCAGAGAGGGTAGAGTAACTTGCCCAAGGTCACAAAGCAAGTGGGATCAGGTCTACTCCCCATTTCAGCTGCCTTTTTGGGTCTAACTTCCGTCCCCAGCTTGGTAATTCCTGGAAGTCATAGACAAGGCCTGAGTTTCCCAACATGCCCCTGGCTCTTACCAATGTGGGTGCTGGGGCTCAGAAAGGGTCCGTGGGCCCCGGGAGCTGCCGTGAAAGGGTTGGCTGCAGCGTGGACGGCACCTGGGGCAGAGAGGTGGGAGATTCTGATGAGGCTGAATGGGTGCTAGGTGGGCCTTGGGTTATAGATGGGGAACCTCAGGCCCCAAAAGGGCTGGCCAGACTCACCAGTTGCAGTGAAGAGGGAGGCGGCCGGATGGGAGAGCTCCTGGCCAGTGGGCAGGGCCCCATAGGGCCCTGGAAGGCAGGGCAGGAGGTCGTTCCGAAAGTCAAGCTTGTGGGAGTCGCCCTGCATGGGACAGGGAGAGGGGCAGTGAGTGAGGAGTCAGACTTGGTCCTGCTCTTGCTCTTCCACCCTTACAACCCCTCCAAAGGCTGCCTGGTGTCAAGATGGGGACTGGGTGCCTTCTCTGACCATCCCCCTAGGTAGCCAGAGAACCTAGTGCTAATTGTGGAATTGCTCAGGCAGTGACCAGGGATAGGATGGGATGTTTCTGGCAAAGATTCTGCCAAGCTCTATAGAAAGTAGACCCCCAGGGTTCAGGCAGGCCCGCTCTCCCCAGCCCTCCGGCCCCAGTACCTTCATCTTTTCCTGGTGTCTCAGGATCATGTAAGCCACGCGCACGTGCATGGCACACCACTTCCCTGGTTTCTGCCGCCCCAGAAGGATGACCAAAGGGAAAGGGAAGGAAAGAATGTTCACTCGTCACCCACTCCAGGCCTGGCCCAGGGCCCAGACTTGCCATATAACATATTTTATCATCCCTACAAATGAGGAGATGACTAGGTCCATTTCACAGCCTAGGAAACTGAGGCTCAGAGAGATGAACTGTCTTGCCCAAGGCCCCATGGCCAGTTACATCTGAACCCAGGTCTCTGGCTTACAGTCCTTCCTCCTTCTGCTGTTCCACATCTGGCTGCCTCCATGTCTTGGACTTCTCACTCATTTTCAAGCAAGAACCACCCCCCTCAGCCAAACACCCTGACACCAGCCCCCAGCCTCATGCAGCCTGAGTTCCTCACCAAACTCACCCTCAAAGGTGGCCGGAAATGGTCAGGGATCTGGGGATGGCAAAGCAGAGATTGGTGGCAATTCAGACCTGTTTCTGACCTGGGCACCTCATCTCAACAGCCCCCAAATCCGCCCCCAAACATCTCGAGACTCTGTGTGACTCCCTCAATACTTTCCTGCTGTGTTGAGATTCCTTCCCCCACCTCTTCCACTCTGGGCCTCTCCCCTCCAGCACCAAGTTCCTGAACCAGGCTCTAAGAAGATGCTTTGCTTGGAAGACTGGGGAGTAGGTTGGTGGGCAGGCAGGACACATTTTTCAACAGGAGAAGCTATCCTATTAACGGCTTTATATGAGATTCTGTTTAAGCTTTCTTTAGAGAATAGCCTTTATTAGGGCTAAAAGAGGTTGGAAAACCTCTGGTCTAATCTTTCCTTTAGGAAATACATCCTGTGTTTTTTCACGCTGTTCCCAGAGTCCTGGGCTCTAAGTGGGAGGGAAGGCTTGGGCTCCTTGTGCCACTTCACAAAGGGACAGCTTATCTTTTCACAGTTTTATGAACAGGACTTCCTGGCATGATGTCATTTGAAAAAAAAAAAAGTTTTGTGACTTAAAAAACTTGAAAACCCTACAAAAAAACCACTGCTCTAGTTATCTTATTCCTTGGGTAACATCATGAAATTCCTATTCCTCACACCTGGGGAATCCTGTCATTTACCTAAATTCTTTCACATCAGAGTCTCAGGAACACCCCCAATCATATATTAAAGGGAGGGATCAGCCAGTGACTCATTCTCAAGTCAATCCTACTCTACTCAACAGATCTTCCACCTCCAACAGAACCTGCCTTGCCCCCCCTCACCTGTGTCCCCTTTTGGGGAAGCCCGCTTGGCACTGGCCCCAGTCGTGGTGGCAGCTCGGGGTTCGTGCTCTGGGAAAGGGGAGTGGAGGGATCAGTCAGGAGAGCTGGCATAAAAAGGGTCTAGAACCAAGCTGGGGACTGGGACAGGGAGAAAGTATGGTTTTGGGGAAACCTGAGTCCACAAGGGGAGGACAGGACGATGGGCATGGTTTGGGGAATGGGACGAAGGTATGTGGACCTGAGGTGTCTGGGTTTTAAAGGGTGGGAGGTGGTGGTATTGTCTGGATTGGGAGCTCACCTTGGGCTGGAAGGCCCCCTGCAGGGAGCCAAAGGAGACAGCCGGCGGGAGGCCCGGAGGTAGGCCGGGCACTGCGGGAGGGAAGGCCGTGTACGGCTGTGGAGAGAAGGGGACTAGTCCAAACTGGGGGTGGGGGTGCAGCCCACATCTGGTGTGCCCATGAGTCCTCTGGTCTCCACCCTAAAGCCCCCCAGGGAGCTCTCCCAGGCTCAAGGCTTTGGCTTTTGAAGCTGAAGATTGGACCCCAACAGTTAGGGTCACACGCACTGACGCATCTATGCCCACACACCACACACATGCACTCACATTATGCCGGAAAAGGCCTTCCATCTTTCCTGGGTATTTCTCAAACTAGGGAAGAGAAGGGAAGAGTAAGCTGCTAGCCAGAGACCCTGGGCCTTCCCCTGGAAGCCAGACCCTCCCCCCAAGTCTCTGAGCTTCATCACTGGCCCAGTGAGGAGCTCACCATGTGGGGGCCATGGGGTGGCAGCAGGCCCGGGGGATAAGGGGTGAAGTGCTGGTGGGTGTGCTGGTGGGTGTGCTGGTGCTGGTGGTTGTGCTGGTGGAACTGGAAGGCCAGGGGCCGGGCTGAGCCCCCTGTCCCCACCACCTCGGGGTAGCGAGAGTTCAGGTCCTGGCCGATCAGGTCCTGCTCTGTGGGAGGGGAGGGGGAGAAGGCTTTAATATTTGTCACCACCATGTCAGCCTCCTTGGGCCCAGGTGACTGGCCTTCCCTTCTGGTCTTGAGCCATTCCCTCCTCAAGCCCTGAAGTCTGCTAAGGTCCAAATGCCCCAAAGCCGACTGGGCCCAAGCCAGGGTCATGGCCCCCCACCCCCCGGCCAGGACCCCAAACTCACCAGAAAGGGCGTTAGCAGCTGAGGCCCCAGGGTGCCCTGGCACCTGCAGCAGGGGTGGGGGTGGGGGCAGGGTAGGGCCAGGGGAGAACAAGGAGGGGTGGTGGGGTGGTAGGGGGGGCCGCAGCCCGGGGGGAGGAAAGCCGTGGTTGGACAAAGGCAGGGGCAGTGAGGGCGTCGGGGGCCGGTGGGTGAGCTGCGCGGACGAGGAGGAGGCAGATGAGGAGGAAGAGGACGAAGAGGATGATGAGGGGGGAGGCTGAGCCACGGGAGGGGCCGGGGCCTTGGGGGGCGGCCGTGAAGAGCTGGGGAGAGAAGTGGGGAAATGAGTGAGGGGTTGGGAGGTGCCAGCTCTGACAGGAGTGGGTCAGAAGCCTGGGCGATACCTTGACCCTGGTTCTCCAACATGGAAGGTGGTAGAACCCAGCCCCCAGGACCTCCACCCCCACCCAAGGAACCCATCCTCAGACTGAGGTACCTCCCACAACCGATAACCCCCTCTTTCTCTCTCTAGGTCTCATCTTCCACACAGCTGCCTCTGATGTCTTTGACCACATGACTTTCCCTTTTCTGACTCAATCACAGCACAAAACATATCATTCACTTTGACACTTAATTACAACAGGCCACCTGGGTTCCTACCCTAAGACAGTGGAAGCAGCACCGTGCTGGCCTGGCCTAGGAGTTCTAGGCCCATCTTGCCATTAACATCCTGGGTGACCTTGAGCAAGTCACTGCTCCTCTCTGAGCCTTAGTTTTCTCAATGATAAGAAAAAAATAACAATGATGACAGTAATAACAGAGATAGCATCAATAATAATTGTATCAAGAATTCTTACCCTTTAATGAGCACTTACTGTAGGCCAAGTGCTGTCACTTGTTTTATATGCTAATCCAAGTCTCCAACATTTCACACCACCTTCCCAAATGCTGCCGCATCCATGTAACCACCTGTACCATTTACTTCTTTCTTTAACGTAACCATTTTTCTTTTAACTTAGCTTCACCCAAACCACAACATGTGAAATCCAGGGGGTGAGATACTAGTCATACTTTTCTAAAGCACGTAAAAGCTGAAAAAAATGTACTCACACAACATCTGAAAGTATCTCACATATCACTAATGATGAGCGCACACACTTTGGGAAACACTGCATTAACTCACAATTCTCACAACAGCTTTAGAATGAAGGTACTATTATTATTTCATTTTACAAAAAGAGAAAATTGAGGCCCAGAGAGGTTACGTGACTTCTCAAAAATCACACAGCCATTAAGTGGCAGAGCAAGAATTTGAATCCAGGTCTGACACCAAAGCCAGCACTCTTAATTATCATGACAGCATTTCCCAAAGTATGTTCTGAAGAACACCATTCCTAGAAGACGAGCCTTGCAAAAAGGTTTCATCAGAAAATAATACTGGAAAATGGCACAAACTGAATTCTCCTGCATATGAATGTATAAAGGGTTCTGATGAATTCTGTGTTAATCTCTTTAAATTTGTTTCACCCAGTGTCTTCCAAACTTGTATCAGAATCCTTTTTCAAATCACATCCCAGAGGTACTATCCCCTCTCCCAGCCACAGAATGCAGGGGTTGGTGCCAAAATGACCAGGTCTTTCCACACCAGACCAAATCCCTACACCACTCACCTGCCAGTGCTGAGGTCCAGGCTGCTGTAGGGAGAAGTGCGGAGGCTGAAAGGTGAGACCCGAAGCTGCAGCTGGGGTGGGGGTGGCAGACTGGGGGTGGCCGGCAGGGGTGCAGGGGGTGAGACAGGAGGCCGAGGGGCTGGTGGAGGTGGTGGTTCCTTCGGGGGGAAAGGCACTAGCAGCGGATCGGGCCCTGGGGGCTGTTCCTGGCTCCGCTCCAGGCCCGACACTTTAGGGACTATGGAGAGTTTTGCTTCACAGTTCCCATTGAAGGCGCCATGAGGGCCTGAGGCTGTGAAGGCAGGAGAGCAAACATTCAGTTAAGACCCATGCTCACCCAAATTCCCTCCCTTGTCTCCAGCCCCAGCCCTTGGAACCAACCTTTGCTGGTTGAGACAGTAAAGGATGGGTCGAGGTCATCATCGGAGACCTGGGGAAAGAAGGGTAGGGACAGGGTCAGGTTCTGGTTAGGCCAGGCCCTTACCCAGGAAGGCCAACAATCTGTGCCTGCTGGGAACTGGCAGTGGTGGTGAGTCTACTCCAGCACCTTAGTTGAAATCCATCAAACACTATACTCTAGAGTGCCTATGGCTCGAGGAAAAAGAGTGGAGCAGCTGAGCCTAAGAATGTGGTAGGTCAGGAGACCTACATCACAGCAGTACTAAACTAGCATAGAAGCAAAGAAATCAAAGAAAAAGATATCAATATCTGCTAGCCAACAGGCCTACCTAACTTATTTGTCTGGTTCACAAGTGTTATAAAAAAATTATAAGCTAATTGCTGATACTTAGAAATCCAGACTCCTCATAAAAACTCAACTTGCAGCTTCTCTTGAGAATGGGTCCTTAGTTTCACATGGCGACAAAGACCTATTACTAGACAGTGGTTCCCCCCTTTAAATGGACAAGAACTCTCTGGTTCACCTCAATTCCTGTCCGGCCAACTTTTAAAACTAAAATAAGTCACACATCGGGAAGTACAAATTTAATTAGTCATAGGGGTAGAGCACCAATTGCTAGGACCTACTATTTTAAAATAAGCAAATCAGCTTTATTAATAAGGTGAAATATAATGTATGTTTTTACATTGATTATAGTGGCTTAGTATCCTCAATGTCATGACCACAGTCTCTCTCTGTTCAGACTCTAATCTATTAAAGACTGACTAATAGCCAGGAGAGGACCAGCCTGGTTCCATAGCCATTCCGAATTTCCATAAATCACTGGTATTTCTAAGGGCTTTAGAAATGATGGCACACCAAGGCAGGGGCCTTTTATTCTTCGGTGAACTGGTTCTAGTAACCAAGGAAAAGAAGTCATTTACTCTCAATCCACGCCCCTCCTCCCAAAAATTGAATCCTGGCTCAATCTAATTCATTTTTCCCACTCTAGAGAAGTCTCTGTCTGCTGCACCTAGGAGCCCTTTAAGCTGCAGTTCATTTTATAGGCTGCATCATGCCCACCCAACAGACTCTAGATCCACTCACCCTTTCGTCCAAATCGCTTTCCGCATCACACTGGAGAGAAGGAAAGACAGAAGTGTCACAAAAAAGGGAAGAGAAGTGGGCCCAAAATCAAGTGGGGATTTTCAAAGAGGGAATACGAGGGGAGGAACCGGTACAGGTGGAGAGCACTTACTATATATCCAGCTTCCAGAGAGTGACGTGAGGAGGCCTGAGAAAGACCAGAGTCCAGAGGTAAGGGAAGCTGACTGATGAGGTCTTTGGATAATATCTAAACTCCCCAGTAAGGCACTCAGGGCCCTTTCGTGACCTACTCTCTCAACCTCTTTTTAGCTGCTTCTACTGCTACTGCCCACCCTTGTACCCAGTGCTCTGACCATTTTCCAAATATACCAGACTCTCGTATCTCTGTGCTTTTGTCCAAAACAACTTTGCCCCGTTTCTTCTCTTAGCAAAGCTTATGACTGTTCTTTAAGGCCTGACTAAGATATCCTAGGGGGCTTTCCCTAACCACAACCTTCCTCCCATCCCCCAGGCAGAATGAGTGGCTTCCTCATGTGGGTTTCTACAGCATCTCTCCCAGACCTCTGCCTTCTGTAGCTTTTCGGGTTTGGTATCGCTATTTGCTTGTAGATTCTTTCTTTCCTGCTAGACTGCCACCACCTCAAGGAGGAGGATGGAAACATATCTAATTCATTTATGATTCAATTAAGTCCCTTTGATACACCACTGAATTATCAACATATTTGAGACAGACTTAATGCCAGCCAGAAGCAGGCAAGTCTGACTGAGGACATGTCTTTGTCAGACTTGGATGAGGGTGTAGGAGCTCAAATTTGCTCTACTTTCTTCTTTGTCCTTGGAGACTAAGATCACTGTATATAACCGGTAGCAGCATTGTTGATGGAAAATGGGTCTACTGAAGAATACTCTGCCCAGAGTTTCAAAGGGCAGGGATCTAGGACAAACTCACCTCTTTCCTTCTCCGCTTATTGGGCCATTTTCGGGCACGATCTCCAGAGGGCCGGCCAGGCTCCCGATCAGAGCTGTCTCCTGGCTCCCCGGTGGCCCCACTGGAGCCCCCCCTCTTCCGCTTCCCAGAATGCTTTAGCCGATGTTCTAGTCGCTCTGGGGGCTGAAGAGAGGCATCCTTCTGTGGAGAAGGAGGTGGGACTAAAGTAGATGGAGAAAGGAAAGCTCCCAAACTCTCTAGGGGTGACCAGGCTACCAAAGTGGCTCTCAGGCCAGGTAACCTGGTTGGTCCCTGGAGACAAGCTCTACCTCCTCCCACCCCAGGGCGGGGCAGAGGCCTGGCCAGAGGAGCCGGTTGCTCTGGTTTGGGGTGCCAGCATTCCCCCCTCAACTCCACCCACTCCAAGCACCGTACCCTTCTCTCTGCCTCGGTGAAGCCCCCAAAGGTCCCCAGCCTATTAGGCCCCACCTGCAAGGCCTCCAGGCTGGCGAAGCTGGCAATGGCGAAGCCATCGATCAAGTCCTCCTCCTCTTCTTCCTCCTCCTCAGGCTCCTCCTCGGCCTCCCCGTCGTCTGCACCCCCCTCTTCCTCCTCCTCCTCTTCTCCGCGACTGCCGGAGCCGGCAGGGCGCTTTCGAGCTCGGGGTCGCGGTGGCCGAGGCCTGGGACGGGGTCGCCGCCGTCTCGGGCCACCGGGCCGCTCTCCAGACGAAGCTGACGACCAGGGCCTGGCGGGCGGCGGCGGCGATGACGAGGACGAGGAGCCGCGCGGGGCGGCCAACAGGGCCCGGGGCGCGTCACCGCCAGGACCTCGGCGGCGCCGCTGCTCCCGGTCTCTGTCTCGGCGCGAGCAACGCCGCCGCCGCCGCTCTCCCTCAGCGGCCCAGCCTGGGCCGGGAGCCGCGGCCGTCTCCATGGCGACCGCCCTCAGTGCCGCATCCGGAGGCGGCCGGGCCCGAAGTGGCCTGTCCGCAGGCCCGGGGTCGCAGGCGCGGCGTTGGCGGCTGCACAGGGACGAGAGGGCCACGGCTTCCTCTTTAAAGCAGGATCTGCTGGCCCTGAGCTTGCCCCAAGGCCAAAGCCTGGGGAGCCGGCACCGCCCCCGGGGCGACAAGCCCGAGGGTCCCCCCCCCAGTGGGGCCGGCAGGGCCAAGACGGCGAAAACCGGGCGGCCGTCCCTTTAAAACGAAACCCAAGTAGTCCAGTCCCTGGCCCCTTTAAGACGACCCGACGGTGTCTGGGCGAATGCGGTGGCCGCCCCCGGCCAGGGGTCGAGACTAGTCTCCCCGAAGAAGAGGAAGGGCCACCCCTTTAAAAGGGACCGAAAGCTCGCCCCGAAACGCAGACCTCCCCTTTAAAAGTGTCTCAAGTCCTCCGGCTAAAAGAGGCCACCCCTTTAAAGAGTCCTGGGTTCTCAAAACAGCAGGCCGCCGCTTTAAAGGCTCGGGAGTTTGTTTCCAGTTCTCCACAAGCGGCCACTTCCCCTTTAAGCTGAATTTAAAGGACTTTCTGGAAGGCGGGGGGAGAGGAGGTAAGAATCCTCACACGCTCCAATTCTCCCAACAGCACAGTTCTCAATTTGTCAGCTTCTGTTCGGCGGCTTCCCCTTTAAGGCAGGCGTTGTAGTCTGCCGAGTTCAGTGGCCACCCCTTTAAGGAGATTTAAAGGGGCCTCCTCCAGTCCCAGCTCTTCCAACCTCCGCCTCCAGTCGCCATGAAAGGCGCGAGGGGGGGGCGGGGCCGCGGGGGCCAGCCCTCCAAAGCCCCGGATGTGAGGCAACGGTGACGGGTAGAGCTTCTCTGTCTGCCGACATAAAAGTCTCTTCCTCCTTTCCTCGTCTCTGTGTGACTCGCTCCTTAAGGGATCCGAAACAGCCGTTGGTCAGCGGGGGAGCTCCAGCGCACAGTCTTGTTGTCTCCTTTGGAGTCTTGGGCCTCTCCGCCAGGACTTCCCTGCCCCTCCTCCCTCTTCCTCCTCAGCCTACGCCTCCTTCCTCTCTCTGCCTCCTCCCACTCTTCACTCCCTTCCCCTCACCCCTCCAGTTTTAGTCGTTGATAGGTGGAAAAGTGTACGTCAGGACGCGGGGCGGAGTCAAACTCGGGGAGTGGGTAATTTGTAACCGCCCTCAAATTCTGGATTGGATATACGTCAGATTCGCTCCGTCCTTCACCAAGTCTCGTGACTCGACTGGTTAGAAGTATGGACTTGGGCGGTTCCGCAGGTGACCCCGCCTTTTCCCGTTCTTCGTTCATTGGTCCGCCTTCTGACGGCGTCACGGCGAGGAGTCGGGATGTGGTGCGCGAGCCTTGGTGGACGGTTGGCCGCTGGGAGGCGCGCGGCTACGGGAGGTGCTGTCGACAGCCTGTTACGTCGTCTCTCCCTTTCCGTCGCTTGGCTTAACCCACAGGTCTCCTGGCTTCTCGCGCACGCGCGTGGCAATACCGCCCTCCGACGGGCAGCTCAGCAGGATTAACTCAGCGGAGTGGGGTGGCCGAACATGCGGCGCGCCTGGCGACTGCCGAGTCGCGTCTTCTCTTGGTTCAGTGGAAAAGTGCTGGCCTGTGGTCTCTGCATGCTAACAAGAAGAAAACACCTTGCTCTTCTTGTGTGCCGGGCACTTTCTGTCATACTGACTAATTGGGTTCTTTTAAGAAGGTACTGTTATTAGCCCCATTTTACAGAAGGGTAAATATTGACGCACAAATATTTAGTTTCCTAGTCAGGATTTGTACTCAAACCTAGCTCTAGAGTCTGCACCGTTAGCACTGTTCTATTTTACTTCTAAGAGTAGAGTGAAAGCTGTAGGGTGCCACTTCTGGACTGTGGTTGGCTGGGTTACTCTTTATGTAGACATCACACTGATACACTCAACTTAGCTTTCCCTCTCACTGGGTTATGTGCAAATCACATACTCCTGACAGTTTATTTATTGTAGGTGCTCAGTTTTAGTTGATTACTCTTAACTTTCAAATCTAGGAGCAGGTGCTGGCCTGCATGTTAGGAAGAATTCAGGGCCATCTTGATCAAGGCCTTTGTCCACTCTGGGACTTTCAGTCTCTATTTTGCTGTAAGTGAATTTGGAGAACCCTGACCAGGGTTTTGGATCACAGTATCTTCTGGAGCAGATTCAGAAGTATTCCTCCACACCAGAAAATTCTCAAGTAAACAAAGTATCTCCAATGACCATTCCTCAATTCCCTCCCTGTATCTAACACTCACTGCTTTCCCTAACACCTTCTCTATTTCCCAGTGTTTCAGGATCAAAGTAGAAACATCAGCCAATAGTGTCAAGCAATCTCAAACTCAGCGAGGAACATACAAAAGAATCAGAAACATACCGAAAACTTTACTAGAAATACAGAGAAAAAAAATAAAAGGGCCTCAGAGGCTTTCCTTCCCTCCAGGATGGATGTACAGATAAACAAATGGAGCCCCTAGGTCTGATGGGGCTGCTCCTTAATCCACTTCCTCCTCTTCCAGGAACAAGGCATCCAGCTCCTCCAGCCGCTGCTGAAGCAGGGGTCCCACATCTGGGCAGGGGGCCAGGTTGGGAGTAAGGGTCCTGCCAGTTGCAGCCCGGACTCCACGAGATGGCCTCCGGGATCGAGGAAGGCTGCTGTCCCGAAATTCCACAGCCCGCCGCAGTTTCCTCGAGCTGGTCAAAATCAGAGTCCCATTGCGCTCCCGGGGTTCCTCAAAGATGGTCTCAAATGTCCTGGACCAGGCAGGGAGGTGTGCTGGTTACCAGCATGGCCCCCGATTCTAGCCTTCCCTCTATTACCCCCCAAGCCTTCAAAGTTTCTCACCTCCTGGTTGTAGGCGACTGATAATTCTTGTTGGTGTAAATTTCTTCTAAGCTGAACTCCTTCTTGTTCAACCTGGGAGAAAAGGGCAGAGGCCACTAAAAAACCTGGGGCCAGTGGGTCCAGGAGAAGGGATAAGCAAGGCCTGGTCTGTATTTGTTTCTGGGACATACCAGATGCCAGGAGTACTGCCTGAGGCAGACAAATAGTTCTACACACAAACCACCAAATTGGACTGTGCTCCCTAAGAGGAGACAAAGCCACACTTCAGAGAATGGGAGCCTATATCTGTTTGGCCAAGGCAGTTCCATACACAATAAGCATTCACCTGATCGGTCGAGGTAGCCCCATTGGTGTAAGGTTTAGTTGAGGACGGGCCAGTGTCCTGCGTATTCTAAATCGAGAAACCTTTCCCATGGTCTGCAAAAATGGGGCAGAGGGTAAGAGTGTGGCATGGGCAAAGGCTCCCACTTATCTCCTCCCCCTCATCTGTACACCTACCTTGGTCTCAGGGTCTGAAAGCACTTGGTCCTCTGAGGCCCGTGGCTCCTTCCTCTTAGTTGAGCCCAACCTACAGAGAAGGTCAAGGCTCAGGAACAAACATCATTCATAGCAGTATTCCCATCTCCTGCCCACTGGACACTAGGGAAGGAGGCTAGGCCCAGACTGTGGCCAGGGATTTAAGGGTTTATTGAGAGTACTACCTGGGTTCTGCAGGTTCAGAAAAGGAGGAAGTGGATGTGGTGGACGAACAAGATGTAACGAGGGGAGGAGAGCCTCCCACTCCTCCAAGAGGGAAGACCTCTTTCCGGAGACAGGGTCGAGGGGGTGGTGGGGCTCCAGCCATCTCTCCACCACCCACAGTGTGCCGTCGAGGCCGTGGCCGGCTTGGGTGGCATGGAGCAGGGGGCCAGCTGCAGGTATCTGCCCCAGGAGGCCCCAGGTCAGGGCAGGAGTGGCTTCGGCCCAGAGATGGTTTAGGGAGAGGTGCTGGGGGACTGTGGTCTTGGGCTCGCCACTGGCGGATAGGGGGGCGGGGACTGACAAATGCAGTACCCTCAGCAGCTGTGGACTGCTCAGCCTCTGAGATGGCAATCTTCAATTCCAACTTCATTGGGGGTGATGGGGGCGGGGGCTGTGGGACTTTGATGGGTGTGAGGAAGATGTCAGCAAAGCTCTCCAGCTTGGAGCGGACGGAACGGAAGAGGGGGGCCAAGCCCCAGGGACTGAGGCGAGGGCGTAAAAGGCTGGAAGGTGGTGGGGTTGATGGGGGTTCCAGAGTAGAATCTGAGGCTGAGGAAAGGAGAAGATCACAGGTGAGCATTCCTCAGCTGCAGGGTCTAAGCCCCATTTCAGTAACTTTAGCCCCTCCCCAAACACTAAATTGCTCACAAAGGAAGCATATTCCTTTAAAAAAAACAAAAAAAAACAACTAAGCCCTAAATTTAAGAATTAGACAGTAGGCCTCTGAAGCTGAAATCCTATCTTTATATACCAAGCTCTGCCCTGGAAGGGGGTTAAGCCGCACTCCCACCTCTGTATCTGAGTTCAGCTAGAATTTTCCAGAGCCCCAAATCTCATCCTTCTATCTCAGTCCTTACCTGGTGATGGGTTCCCCAGAGGGTCTGCAGGCAGGGCAGATGGCTGGAATGGGGGTTCCGGGTCCCTGGGTGGAGGCATTGTCTGGTGAATCATCATCATGGACTCAGCTCTGGGGTAAAGGGGCAAGGTAAAAGCTGGGGAAGCTTCCAGATCCAGATCCCACCTGAGCCAGCACCTCCCCTGTCCCTTAAGGCTACTAAAGGTGCTACATGGAACTGCTGAACAAGAAAATTCTAATGCCCCTAGCTCTGGCTGCCTGGAAAATGGTTGTTGCCTTGACATTTTCTTTTTTTTAATTCTCACCCAAGGATATTTTTCCATTAATTTTTAGATAGAGTGGGCGGGAGGGAGGAAGAGAGAGAGAAACATGGATGTGAGAGAGAGAGATCGATTGGTTGCCTCCCTCATGACCCCAGGGTATTGAACCTGCAACCCAAGTTTGCAAGGAATCGAACCCGAGACTCTTCGGTCTGCAGGCTGACACTCTAACCACTGAGCAAAACTAGCCAGGGCTTGACTGGACATCTTTTTTTTTTTATCCTCACCCAAGGACACTTTATGATATTTTGTTCAGATAGAGAGGGAGAGAGAGAGAGAGAGAGAAACATCGACGTGAAAGGGACACATCGAGTAGCTGCCACCCGCACAACCCAACCAGGGCCAAGGACAAACTGCAACTGAGGTACGTGCCCTTAGCAGGAACCGAACCCAGGTCTCTCGGGACCACAGGCTGACGCTCTAACCGCTGAGCCAAACTGGCCAGGGCTTGACTGGACATCATAATTCCTTCCCCAGCCCTCTCACCTTCTCGCTGGGATGATCAAGTTGGGAGTCTCGTCAGCCAAGTCCTGAATATAAACAGAGGATGTTTGTGGGGAGGCAGGGCAGCTCCCTTTGGCCTTGTTAGCATCCCACATCTCAACTCTCTCAGTCTCCAGATGCCTGCCTGGGTTCACACCAAAGACTTTTTCATTATAGTTCTTTGCTCAAGCAGTGTCTTCCACCTAAAATCCTGTTCTCTTCGCTCTAAGCAGTCTACCCCAGACTCAACTCTCCTACTTGTCTTCTACATCACTGGAGTGCCTGCCCCCAGCTGTACCCCTGACATCCTTACTGGAAGTTCCCATACCTCAGGTGGGGGTCTGGGACTGACAATGTCTTCTAGCATCACCACCAGAGTGGGCTGGGGTGCCCGGTCCACCTCTTGTGAAGGACCTTCCTGTGGGCCAGGGGATGTCCTTGATCGTCGCCTCAGGGTGGAAGAAGGCCGGTGGATGCGGCTCAAGGGCTCTCGGCATAAGTGCAGTGGGCAGGGAGGCCTAGAGAGAGAACATGAAGATCAGAGTGGCTAGGCTATGCCTGGCCGGTATGGCTCAGTGGTTGAGCATCAACCCATGCACCAAGAGGTCGCCGGTTTGATTCCCAGTCAGGGCACAAGCCCATGTTGTGGGCCAAACCCCCAATGGGGGGCATGCAGGAGGCTGTCAATCAATGTTCTCTCTCATCGATGTTTCTGTCTCTCCCTCTTCCTTCCTCTCTCTAAAATCAATAAAGAAAAAATATTTTAAAAACAAACAAAAAGAGTGGCTCAGCTGTGTCACCAGCTTACCCCCTATCCTGCCTTGCTCACCTGGCCTGCGATGACCACATGGCCTGTTGGGGTGGTGAGGCAGGCGGCTGGTTGTGGATAGAATCCCAACGGTTGCTGCGGTGTGGTGGGGTGGAGGTCTCCTCTTGGGGAACCAGGGGAACCTAGGAAAGAGGGTGTCAAGAGCAAGGTGATGGAATGAGGTTGGACAGGACAGAGCCTCCCTGTGCCTAACAGTGTCCTATGCAACAAAGGTGACAGAGGTTATGGCTAGAATTCACTCAAGATCTTCAAAAAAGGTGAGTTGAACTGAATTGGGGACCACATATGACAGTGTTCTGAGCTGCTGGTGTGGGACCTGGGTAATCTCTCCCAAGCTGTTTGAAGAAATGACAAAAAAGAGTGACCTTGGGTGAGTTGCTGCCCTGTTTGGGGCCTCAGTTTTTCTCTGTGCAGTGGAGCCAATGATCTCAGTCTGCTTCCTAAAGATTGCCTAGAGGTTGGGCTGGGAAGAAAGCAAAAGGCTTGTGGTTCCAGCCCAACAGTGTTGGTGGTGGGAAATGGGCACTGGAAACCCTGCCCAATTTGAGGTTGGAGTTAGAGAGCCAAGCAGACCTCTAGCATTAGGGAGGTTGCCTGAGCAATATGTGTGAGAATAAGGTGTTTGGACCTCAATTATCCTCACTGGTGATCTGGCCTGACTGGTACTGAGGAGAGACCTGGGGGAGAAGGGAGCCCCTCCCTTCAGGGGGGCTCACCATATGGGCAGCCATGACATCTTCCAGTACCACGGCCAGGACCCGCCGAGAGGCCTTTTCCAAGGGTGAAGGGGCCACAGGGAGCTGCAACCTCGGCCGTTTTGGGTTTCTGGCTCCCCATAATGCTCGAGTCAGGGGCTGGCGGCACAGACGTGGCTGGCTAGGCGGGCTGCAGAGGAAGAGAAGCAGCAGAGGATCGCCTGAGCCTGTCATTTGGCTTTGTGGTTTCCCCTGTACGGTAGCCAGGCTCCCCGTTTCCCGAGCTCAAGACAGGCTGGCAGGGTACGCTCTCACCTGGAGTCCCCCGGCAAGTCCATGGGGGAAGCGGCGGCTCCGGGGGAGTCCCTGGGGGATCCCAGGCTGCAGCCTGGGGTGGGAGGTGGGGAGCGGGGGAGTGGGGAGTGAGGGTCAGCCCTTTCCCTGGGGCTCCACCCTTCATGGTAGCCCACAGCTCTTGGTAGCCCATGGGCCAAAGACCCGGAGCGCGAAAGGGCGCCCTCGGTCGGCCGAACCGAGCGGGTGTCTTCCCACTGCCGCCACCGCCGCCGCCGCCGCCACAATCAAAGGATCACTCGCGCCCTGCTTGGCATTTACCGCGAGAACCTGGATTGCAGCGGCCTCGGTTCTCCCACAGCCCAAGCCTCCGGGGGCCTTTGTCAATGTAGATTCTACCCTGAGAACCTCCCCCTGGGATCAGCTGGGATCCCGGTCCTGGGAGGCTCGATTTCCGCCCAATCCCGCTGCAATCCCCATCCACTCCCAGCGAGTGGCGGAGGACTACGAAGCAATACACCCACACACAGACGGCTCCCCCCTCCCACCAGATCCCCTAGACTGGATCCAAGCGGAAAGAATCCTACAGCGCGTTTCCTCCAATCAGACGCCGCGGGAGGATCCTCCTCTCCCTGTGAGCTTCGATTCTGCAAAGCTCCATACAAGGGCGGCCCGAGCTTGAGCATCACAAACTCAGTTAGGATCCCTGGGGATCCACTGTCCAGCAGATACCCCTCCACTCCAATCCCGGGAGGTCCCGCCCACAGACCCCCTCCCTCCACCCTCCCCGGATCCCCGCCCAGCGCTCTCCCTAGCCCGGGACCAGATGGTTCAAATGTTTCTTCCCTCCCTTCCCCCTCCCTTTCTCCAGCCGCTCGGTGCCCTGCCCCGCTCGCTGCTCACCGCCGCCTCCCGCCGATCCCGGGTCTTCGACGGCTCCCACCTGCGGCTCCTTTAAAACCAGCCTTACCCAGTACCGCCCAATCGCAGAGGGCCTTCTTCTCGAAGTCTCAGGGCAGTGCCCAATCGCCGGCCCGCGTCTTCCGGGTGGTGAGAAACTAAGTGAAGCCACCTGGCAGCCATCATCCCCAGGGGCATGCAGCCAAATTGGGCAGCGCAGCCATTGTGGTTGAGCGCAGATATCTCTGTTCTCGAGGAACCGAAGTGAACTGGGTGGTGTCACCTTCTGATGGCCAGACAGTGGCGGAAGCCTATGCCAAGTTTCTTAATATATTGAGACAACTGTAGTGAAGGTAGCGTGCCGCCACATTTTCTAAGGGCATCTTCCGGTTCTTTCGCCTTTAGTCCAATCAACGTGAACTGAATGCTAACGATATGTAAAATTCCCAGTTTCCTAGAGAGGCCCCATCGAGGCCGGTTTCGGTACCATCCTGGATACCTCAACCGGGTTCCCACATCGCGGGAAAGAGAGAGTTTGGGAGTGGATAGCGAAGGCCAGAGGCTAGGATGGGTCCCCTTCCGGCTCCGTTGCTCCGAGAGGTCCTGGAGAGACTGAGCTGAGCCAAAGTGGAGAGGAGATTGGGAGCGTTGAGTTTCACTTTACCCAAGTGTTGGCACCTCTTAGGTTAAGTGGGGTTTCTGCCGGCCCGTGCAGAGGGCTCAGTATAGGGGCATCATTGCAGGAGACTAATAACTAATTTGACGTGCTCGGTGGGGTCCAGCCTCTTTCCTCTCTGTTCCAGCCTCCCACGAGCCCTCACTCAAGAGGGGCCTGGCTGATGAGGTGTGTAAATAGTCCTTAGTAGTAAGGGATCAGGCATGTAATTCCGCTGCTCGGAGAGGCTGCACAGTGGAACCTTTATCTGGAGTCATGCTGTTGATAGGTAGGAAGTGGGTTAAGTCCTGGCACCGCCTAACCAAAGCCGGTGCCTCCACTAATTCACTAATTCTTCCCTAGAATTCCCTGGTCCAAACCAGTACGTATTTTCTTTCTTCCTTTTTTAATTGACGTCACAGAGAGGGGGAGAGAAAGACCCCATCAATTTTGTTTTTTGTTTTGTTTTTCTCCTTTTAAGTTTTAATGAAAGTTGTATGTAAGATTACTTTATTCCTGCATCTTCTCCATTGTTTCTTCCTTGTATTTGCCCTTTTCCTTTCCTACTTGGCGAGATTTGGCTTTACTTTCAAGGATCTTTTTGCAGTCTTTGTCCAGTTTTAGTCTAGTGATAACCACCTTGCTGGGGTGAATGCCCACATGAACAGTTGTACCATTAGCTTTCTCCCGTTGCACAATGTAGATGACATATTTCCTCCTATAAACCTGGACTACTTTGCCAATTTGCTGCCCTTTGTAATGTCCTCGAACAACCTGAACTTCATCATCCTTTCGGATGGGCATGGACCGAACATTGTACTTTTATTTCAGCACTTTGGAAAGAGGAGAAGACATCATCTTCCTGCGAATGTGGGAAGGTGCATTGAAACGCCTTTTATGGTTCTTGCTCTGGTTGGAAGTCACAAAGAGATTAAACTTCATTTTGACCGCTGGCGCTTCTATGATGGCCGCAAAAGGGAAAAGACTGACACACTACTTAATTTTGTTATTGTTGTTCCACTTAGTTATGCATTCATTGGTTGCTTCTTGTATGTGCCCTGACTGGTGATCTAACCACAATGTTGATGTATGGGGAGGAGGCTGTAACCAACTGAGCTATCCTGCCTGAACCAGCACATATTTTCTTGATACAAGAGAACCTGAAGCCTAGACTTCTTGGCCTGAGATGAAGGTGCCTACCCAGCACAGCATGATTCTCTTATGGGCTTGATTAAATGATAAAACTAATGACAAAAGGTGATATAGAAAGAGCAGAATCAGCAAGAGCTGGTGTGGAAAGTGAAGACTCCCCAACTCTATAATCAAGGACTTATCCAGATAGCTCTCCCAGGACAACAGCAACTTTCTGTAATAGCCTGCTGGCCCTCTGGAATTTCATGATAAGGCTTCTGGTGGAAGTAGGCAGCAGCTCTTTCAGCTAGAGGTGTTCACTCCCTCTGGGTCAGGACTGTCTGCATAATACCTGAGGGTATTCCTTGGAGGGTATGGTGATATTTGGAGATCCTTCTGAACCTTGGTGAGTTATGAGGCCCTCTGTAGGCTCTCACTTAATTGCTTAAACACACAGGTGCTTCCCAGGCCCCAAGCCAAGGAAAGCTGCCAGATCTGAATTTTAATTTTCTAGGTCTCCTGAAGAACTCAACGTCAAGGGCAGAGGAACTAGTCTTAAAGAAAGGGTCTTGCCCAGCCGGTGTGGGTGTGGCTCAGTGGATTGAACGTGGTCCCATGGACTTAGAGTTCCAGTCAGGACACATGCCCTGGTTGCAAACTCGATCCCCAGTAGGGGTCGTGCAGGAGGCAGCCAATCAATGTTTCTCTCTCACATTGATGTTTCTATCTCTCTCTCCCTGTCTCTCTAAAAAAAAAAAAAATCAATTAAAAAACATATTTAGCCCTGGCCGGTTTGGCTCATCAGTTAGAGCGTCGGCCTGCAGTCCAGAGAGACCCGGGTTTGATTCCCGCTAAGGGCACGTACCTCGGTTGCAGATTGTCCCTGGCCCTGGTCGGTCGTGCAGGTGGCAGCCACTCGTGTTCCTTTCACGTCGATGTTTCTCTCTCTCTCTGTTCCTCTCTCTCCCTCCCAACTCTACCTGAACAAAAAATGGAAAAATGTCCTCGGGTGAGGATAAAAAAACACACAACATATTTAGAAAAAATAATTTACAAAAAAAAGAAAGAAAGGGCCTGGAACTGAGAAATCTGGTAGGGAGAGCCCAGCCCTACAACCCTAACTGAGGCGCTAGAGTTTATCAAATTGAATTCTAAAGTAGACTGTGGTGTCTTGGCCCCCAGCCTAGGCCAGCAACTTCAAGCCTTCATAGCTTCAACATATTACTTCTGCCTTCTTTGTGACTATTTCAACAACAACTTCCTTGCCCACCAGCTGTGTACACACTCTATGGTGTGGCTGGAGGCCCCACACAGCCTTCAGCAGGGCAGGTGATGTAGCTGGAGATTGGTTGTTAAGACACATCAGTGTATCATTCTTCAGAAACTCTGGGCCCCTTTAGACTCTGGCTCTCCCACCTGCTTAACTGTTCCCTGGCTTCAGTAAAATAAGAACAATAAACCCTGACATGCCTATTTCAAAATAGACTGGGAAGATCAAGAAGTGAGAAGATACATCTGAATGTGCCTAATAAATAAATTAAGGCTCAGGCTACAGGTAAAAACAGGATGATAAAAACTGCTTCTTCTGCCCGGCCAGTGTGAGTCAGTGTACTGAGTGCCATCCCATGGACTGATAGGTCCCGGTTCAGTTCCCGGTCAGGGCACCTGCCTGGATTGTGGTCTTGATCCCCAGTGTGGGGTGTGTAGGATCAATGTATCTCTCACATTGATGTTTTTCTTTCTCTCTCCCTAAAAAATCAATAAAAACATTTAAAAAACAAACTACTGCTTCTGCCCTGGCCAGTATAGCTCAGTGGTTAGTGTGGGCCCCACACACTAAAGAGTTATGGGTTCAATTCCTGGTCAGGGGCATGTGCATGAGGTGCAGGTTTGATTCCTGCCCCAGTTGGGGTGTGTGCGGAAGGAAACCAATCTATGAGTCTCTCACTCATCAATGTTTCCCCCTACCCCCACCCCTGCCTTCCACTCTCTAAAATGAAATCAATGGAAAAAATATCCTTGGGTGAGGATTAACAAAAACAAAAAAACCCTGCCTCTTCTCAGTGTCCTATGCCTTCCTGTCCCAAGCCAGCTGCTCTACTCAGTACCTTTCACTGCAGAAGCCTCTAGCCTGAGCTCCAGATGAGCCAGGGTAGGTTGGGTTAGGATGTGGCTTGAAGGTGCTGAGATGAATTTGGGTTGCTGCTCTGGTTTGCATCAACCATTCAACAATGGTTGCCTCCTGTATGCTATGTCTTGAGGATATTCTTGAGGATAGACAAGTGCCTGTCCCCAAGAGTTTGGAGTTGATATCCCTGTATACAAAAGTGCCATTGGCTCTGCTGATTCCCTCAGCCTCAGTCCTCTCCATCCTGAAGTACTCAGTCCAGTCAGGTGTCATCACATTCCTGCCCAATTTAATTCCCCTGCTGAGGAGCTTTTAAGACCCGTCTTTGGGGGCTCTTTCACTCTGGTCAGCTACTTCAAATTGTTAGAATTTTTATTTATCTGAGAAAGCTAGTACTACCCATGGTCTAACTTTGTCTCTTCCCCGGTCTAGAGAGCCACCCACCACCATTTCTATCTTAGCCTCTTAGCGGGGGAGGGGCATAATGGGCAGGGGTCAAGTTTGGAGGAACTGAATGGTAAAGTGATAGAGCTTATGGTGAGGAGGTTGGAAATGGGAACAAGGTTTGAAGGATTGGAGAGAGAGTCAAGAAGGGTGAAGGGAGCTGCCTATCTGAAAGTGGTATGTCACTGTGCTGTTTATCAATTTATTATCTCTCAGCTCTGAATTCATTCTTTTTGCCTGCTCTGTGAAAATGGGTCTGGGCCCTTTAAATATTTTTTGTGTGTGCCAGCTGGAATCATTAAGTTTTGTCAGCTGGGGAGACATCGCAGGAAGAAAGGGTTTTGCTTTCTGGTTCCAGTGACTCCTATTGCAGTGCATGTGGGTTCCTCAGCTCCAGCTTCTGCAGTGTAGGCAGTTTGTACAGTGCCAGACTCCTGCTGGGCATAGTGGCCAACAGCACCCAATGGCTAGCACCTTTCCCCGGTATGCCCCTTGGACACATTTGTGGTGGAGTGCCTCTGCTGAAACACCTTCCCATGAACAGCTTTCCCTGACACACTAGAGGGAAGATTTCCAGCAAGTTACACTGGAGGGGTATCCCTGTGACTTCTATCTTCTCTCCAAAAAGATCTGGATCTCTGCCTTGGCTGGGTGGCCCAGT